TGTCTTACTTAAAATCGTTTTATCTTTAAAAATAAGATAACTCTATGGTTTTTAATTTGTTCTGTAGTTCAATTCAATTATATCACCTAAATAAAAATTCTAATTTTTTATCATTAACAAATTCTTCATGGCTAGACTCAAAAATTGAAACTTTTAGTGAAAGGTTTTTATAAAACTGATTACCGAATCGCAAGGAAGCCTGAGCAATTATCCAGCATTGCAAAGTTTGAGCCTATCCATTTTGCGTACATGAAATATTTAGAAGCTACAGAGTCCCTGGAAAATAAGTTATAAAAAATTTATATTGATGTTCATTTAGCTAAAAAGTCGGTAAGAGTTAGTTGAGAAGAACCAGGCCAATGCCATTGCAAAACTGCCTCACAAGTAATATGGCTTTATTCGGTTTCATCATAAGCTCGTATAAATTATGTTTGAAGGCCTAGTAGTGACCGAACAATCTATATAATTACAATCATTCAGGCTTCTAAAATGACCGGAATAGGTTGTAAAATTAAGTGCTCACCAATCAAATTAAAATAAAAGGTTCCAGAAACTTGTTGGACTAAATCTTCCGTTAATAGTCCTCGGATTTTTTCGAATGTTGAAGCAACCGAAGTTTGATACAGTATAGAACTTACATCCGTAGCGCCAGGGACAGAGTCAAGGAAAAAGTCGAGAGCAAGAGAGGCTCCTGAAATAAAAAGTCTGTGAAATTATGAAAGTATAAACAATGTAAAAATCTTGACAAAAAAAGCGGACCTAACCTCGTTGAACACTATATTTTTCCAAATCTACAATGCCGTGTTCAGCCAGAAGTTCGTCATCAATAAAAAATCTGCCTGTGTTTTGAGAATCGCTTGCGGGCAACGTCAACACAATATGAGCAGCGTCCGACATGATTTCAGGATGTCTGCATTGCTTAGCAAAGTGCTCGCCCCCAGCAAGCATTTTTGTTGCAGCAGTATATATCGCAGTACGTGGCCACAAGGCATTTACTGCGATTCCAAAGCGTTTAAGTTCTTCCGCCATACCCAGGACGCACATAGACATACCATACTTGGCCATGGTATATGCGACATGATTAGCAAACCATTTAGGGGCCATATTCAAAGGAGGACTTATGTTCAATATGTGTGGATTAGACGATTTTTTGAGATGTGGAATGCAAAGCTTCGAGCTATGCCATAAATGAAGGGGAAGTGCAAATGCTATAATACGCTTAAATATACCATTTAAGAAGTATAAAATTTGCATAAATAATATT